TATGTGTGTGTGTGTGTGCGTGTGCGTGTAGTATGTGTGTGCGTGTGCGTGTAGTATGTGTGTGCGGATACAAATTTTCGTCGACGATTTCGGTAACACGGATGAAGCAATTTGAATAATTAAAAAAACATTCGATTCGTATTGATAAGGAGACGTGCTGAATGGTTTTTGGCGGAGGCAGGTCTAGCCGTTCCGAAGATATGGGGCAAAAAGTGCCAAAAACGGTACCTTAGATTTTAAGAGAACGGAGCGTCTGATTTTAATAATTCAAAAAACATTTTACTTGTATTGACAAGATAAAGAATTGAACAAATAAAGGCAGGTCTAGCGGTTTCGGAGATCTAACAAAAAAAGTAAAAAAAAAGCCATTTGGCGGTCAAAAATGATCATTAGACATATGCACATCAAATTATCAGATAATTTATAGAGATTTCAACAATAAGTATAAATTTTGTTTACATTTCTATGGGTTCCGTACCAATGTTTATCCGTTAGACAGCGACGCGGCGCTTACGCGCTTTATATTTTGTCTCTATGCAGTACGATTGCTTTGAAAAAAAGTTCAGATCTTCCAAAATATGTCAAAATAAAGAATTTTTTTTTTTTTTTTTTCAAAAAAAAGTAATTTTTTGTCCAATTTATAATTTCTCAAAAATCTTATTTTTTTGAAGTAAATTTTTTTCAAAAATGTTGATCGTTTTAAATATTTTAAAATAATAATTTTTGGTACGGGAAGTTCCAGCAATTTGCCTTAAGGCACGATGCCTTAATTGCCTTAAGACAGAATTCAACTTACAGCTAGTTTTTTCATAAGACGGAAAGTCAACTAAACATATTCAAACCTGAGGCTTTCCTTCCTCCGCCATTGGCGATGCCTTTGGGGTAATATCTAACTGGATTCGATTGAGCGAATCAATGTGATCGGTTCGAGCGAGTGCAACTGAATTGAATCGGAAATAATTACTCTGCTAATGCTGCAAACGTGATTATTAACTTTATATGGGATAGTTATAAACTCACCAAATGCTATTGATTAAGTAAACAATTCGATTATAGTATTGCCAGTCATAGCGTTCTGTATAGATAAATAAGGGACGTGTGTTAATGTTAGTAGCTGATTTACCAGTTAACTGCGTGAAACGAATATGTCCTACAATGATAAATGTCACTAATACACTAATTTCGTATTCTGTGGTTTACGATATGTTATATTGTAAGAATCTACATACATATGTATAGCTTAATACTAGTACTGCTTATTTTTTCATGAAATTCAAAATATTAACTTAAATATCCGAAAAAAATACATTTTTGAAGCAAACATTGAATCACGTCTCGTTTATAGGTCAATTATAAAACAATCATAATTTGTATCGAAACATATGTGTAATTGTACGTAATTTTGAATTTTCTTGAAAATTTGATACTTATATATGTTGGTTGATCCATGATGTCGAAAATGTCGAGGTTTTTTTGAACTATATAAGTAAAAATCATATCTTTTGGTATGAAAACCAAATAATTGAAACCAAAATTATATTTGTATTTATATATTATTAGAACTTCTGATAATTTGATGTGCATTTGTCTAATGTTTATTTTTGACCGCCAAATGGCATTTTCGAAACTCTAGTTCGAAACCGCTAGCCATTTTTCAGCACCTTCTCTCATCAATAAAAATCAAATGTTTTTTAAATCATAACATGATGCTTATAGACATGCTAATTACTTTTTGGCTAAAACAGGCCGAACCGTCGAGATAAGGAGCTAAAAGTAAAAAAATGCAGTTTTTGAGAGAATCCTATTTCAATGATTCAAAATGCATTTTTCTTGTTTTGACAGTGTGAATAAACGATTCATTTTTATGGAAGACAAAAAATTTTTGATTTCAAAATTTCAATTTTTTTTTTTTAATTTTTAAGAATATTTTTTTCAAATATCGAAAATAATTCAGATTTTAATTTCAATTCTAGCTAAAATTTTAAAGATTACTTTAAAATAAATAATTTTAACTTTGCAATTTAGTTTATATGATATAAATCTTTCATTCTAACTCCGCTTGATTAGGTTTCGTTTTTTTCGATTTTTGAACGATTTATATTTATATTTTTTTGTTTACTTTACTTTTTATGTAAACATTCAATTTATGAACATTTACATTTTGTCTACAATATACGAATAATAAAAGCTACAGTATTCATAATCATCAATTTAAAAACATTTAAAATTCGTAGAATATTTCATTGCGCTGCTAGAAGTGCCAGCAATTTAACTTAAGGCTCGATCTTTGAGTTCCTCGGCAATCGAAATGTATTTAGCAACTGTTTTCGCCAAACGCATATATTTATATATATATATATATATATATATATATATATATATAATTCTTCGACCAATTTGATGAATATTAGTACCTATATATTTAAACTATTTATAGTATGTGTTAATTAGGGTTTGTCGGTTTTCAAAAACTCGTTTCAAAAACCGGTTTTTGACAAAAATTATGAAATTTGAAAACCGTTTTTTTAGTATAAAATTCGGTTTTCACTGTATAAATGGAAAATGACAAGTATAGCCACATATAAAAAATAAAAGATAGATGCAAGCGTTTTGATTCTTGGAATCATATCGGTTCAATAGTATTTGGAATCTTATCAGTTTGCTATGATTCCTAGAAAGGTTTTGTGTTATTTTTTGTCTAATGTATATATTAATTTAGATTTTTATGCCAGTGTATATATATTAAATTAAATCAGTATGACTTCTTCTTGAAGAAGTAACTTCCTCTACTCAAACTTAAAAGAGAGAATTTTTGGTCCTTGAAGCCACGAAAAGAACGAAAAACTTAGAATTTTTTTTAATATATCAGGCTTTAAAAACAATTAAGCCTAGTTCGGTCGCAAGTAAGAGAGTATTTTCTATTTCGGGAAAATTTGTGAGCATACAAAGGACACGTCTGAGTCACAAATCAATAGACGATTTCAGTTTTTAACAATATAATTAGAATTTTTAAAATTAATTAATCAAAATGGCTCTGAATAGAAAATACTCGGGGTTTAGCTTAATTGTTTTAAAACTGAAATTGATACTAACAAGTAAGTATCAACAAGTATCTAAATTTTTTTTAAATAATTAACGTTTTTTTTAAATGTATAATTATTTTTTTGAAAACTTTCCTTTCACTATCATAAAAATATTTTCATTCTTATATATTAAAATGATGCATGAATAACGCATAAATATTTTCAAAGTTTTAAATCCAGATAAACTATTATTTTTTTGTTATACTTATTAAAATTAAAATAATTTTGTTTACTATCCATAAAATTGAACAATAAATAAATTCAGTCAAATACTGCTTTAAATCGCACTACATTTTCAGATAAATTTATGTTATTACACAATATTCTAGCAAAAATATATTTTCTATATAAAATTCGCAAACCGGTTAAAACCGGTTTTCTGGTAAAATCAAAATTTGAAAACCGGTTTTCTGAAATTTCGGTTTTTGTATAATAAATTCTATTTTTTTTTAACAAAAAATGGTATTCTATTTAAAAATCAGTTTGGATTTCGACAAAAATGCTCAACATCCCATTCTATATACACTTTATTACATGATATTGTTTATTCTTTTGAAAATGGTAGCTTTTGCATTACAATTTTTTGTGACTTGTCCAAAGCCTTTGATAGTATCTCCCATGATATCCTTTGTAATAAGCTTGAAAAATACGGCGTACGTGGTTTAGCTCTTGACTTATTTTTGTCTTATTTATCAAACAGGACTCAGTCTGTTTACTTGAGCGATGATGATGGTTCGGTAATAATATCAGACAAATTAAATATCAAACTCGGTGTCCCTCAAGGTTCAATACTTGGACCTTTATTATTTCTTATATATATAAATGATCTTCCAAATTGTTCAGATCTTTGTAAATTTATTCTTTTTGCTGATGACACTAGTATTATTGTTAAGGGAAATTCTTTGGAAGAAATTAGTAACAAATTAAATTTAGTAATGGCTTCAATTTCCAATTGGTTTAAATCCAATAATCTTTTACTCAATAATGATAAAACCCAAATAATGTCATTTCGTACCGTTAATAAAATTAATAATGAGATAAGCTCGCTGAACGTAAATGATACTATTTTCAAATTTTCTTCTATCTCAAAGTTTTTAGGCATACAATTGCATAAAAACTTAAATTGGGACTATCACATTGATTCTACACTAACACCTAATTTAACGAAAACGTGTTTTATGTTAAGAGTTCTTAAATCTAAGGTTAGTTTAAATTGTCTTCTTTCAATTTACTATTCCAATTTTTACTCACACATCGCATATGGAATCCAGTTTTGGGGGTTCTCTCCATCTCTTAACCGCATTTTCAAACTTCAAAAAAGAGCTTTGAGAATAATTTTTCTATTAGTTCTTCATCTTCTTGTAAAAACATTTTTCGTGAACATAGTATTCTTACCGTTCCCAGTATATTTTTGCTCATTACTTTATCGTTTATAAAAAATAATCCTGAACGTTTCAATTTGTCTTCAATGTCGAATTCTCATTACAAGACAAGAAACTTAACTATTAAAGCACCAGTATTTAAACTTGCAACGTCTTTTAACTCAATTGACGGATTTGGAATTCAACTTTTTAACTTACTACCACTTCACATACGAAAACTAAATAATCATAAATTCCACAATACTATAGTAAAATTCTTAAAAGCTCAATATTTCTATGATATTTCAGAATTTGTTAATTTTGATATTAAACAATACTTTGCTAACCAATGATAATTTAGTAATCATCTGCCTCTCATTCATGTCATCTTTTCCCTAAATTTTATTATTTAATAAATTTTACTAACCCTTTCTATATAAAATATCTTTTATTCAAATTCATTTATTAGTATATTTCTTTTTGATACTGCGCTTCTTCCTTTTTGCAGATCCACATTAGAATTTGACGCACATTAACGGACAGGATTGATTCAAGTCTATTTTCTATCAGCAACTGTCGACATTGCATTTATTATTCCTGATCTTCTAACGGTGCCCAAAACGAAGATATTAAATTGTGCATCATATTCTGAAAACATGCATTGATTATCTAAAATGTTTCAGTTGGTCTCAACTGAACATATCTAATTTTTCTTTTCATTCCAGACTTGGGATGAACTCGGATCGCGTCACTTGCGGTTTCATGATCTCCGATATATATATATTTAATTTTTTGTTTTGTTTTTTCATATTTTAGCGTAAATACGCGTTACCCATGTTCAAAGTCACTCAGAAATTGAGTGGTAATGTTCATGATAATGTAACGTACAATAAAGCGTTTAGAGGTGAAATTTATTTATGTCTGAGACTTTTCACCAAACTATAAACTATAAACTATATAAACTATAAACTATGATATATACATTGAGGTAGCAAATATGTAACATTTCAAAAATTTCTTACCGTACCCATGTGTAAGATCCGCTGATAAATGTGGATCTGCAAAAAAATAAAATAAAACAAAATTTTAAAATATCTATATTACTTCATCACATAAATCTTATGTGATGAAGTGTTCAATTATAATGATTATTGTATTCAATTATAATGATTGCCCTACTTAAAACCCTTGGTTAAAGAATCACTTGCATAATTAGACTTAATACATTGTTAAAGTATTTTGTAAATTGAGGGCTTTTTACTGTATTTGATTAACTTTAATAGCATATTGCAAAACACTTTGAAAATATTTTATAATATTCTTATTATTTTCATTTTTTTTAATTTGAATCCAAATTATTATAACATTTAAATATTATGAAACATTTCAACAAGACATCTTTGATAATAAAACCTTAAAGTTATAACAAAGTATTTAATTTAATTTTACAATTTTATAATATGTTGTAAATTACACTCTAAATTGATTGGCTTTTTCTTTGAATATTTATTTATTTTTTTAGTTACACCTAAGCACTTATATAGTATTGCATATCTAATGTATTCGTACACCTTTTTGAATAATTTTTTTGTTAAAAATACAATATGAAAAAAGCATAAAAATATGAATTTACACAAATTATAATGCATATTATAATCTATGCCGGTAGGCAATTTGTATTTCAGTCGCAATTGAATAGATTTGCACGTTGTGTGTTCAACCAAAGTGGAACCAATTTATCACTTGATGAATTGAAAATTTCTATTGAATCGATATTAATTGGATATCATCGATCGTTATTGGTGCCTCGTTTTAGTATGTGAAGCTCTTGAAAGCGATCATTCATTTCTCTTCAATCCATGCCCAATTCAAATATCACGAGCATGTTTTGTTTTCTTTGACACAATCAATAAAATTTTATTTTTTTCAATATTTATCAAGTTGCAGTAGGTTAAGTTATAGTAATCGCAAAAATCGAAATAATTTTTTTTGTATATCATTACGTTTCAAGATCTCCTGAACACTTTGGCATACCATGGAAAAAATGATGATGATGAAAAATCTAGCGAAGGCAGGTCCAGCCTCTTCGAAGATACGAGAAAAAAGTGTCAATTTTTGAAATAAAGTTTTTGGGAGAACGGAGCTTTTGATTTGAATGAGTACAAATTTTATTTACTATAGGTTTTGTTCTATGATTTATAATGTTTATACCGATAAGTGTGACGATACGTTTACGCGCTTCGATCTTCTGCCTTTAAGTACAAAAGACGATAAACTTGCTAAGATCATAAAGTCAATCAACATGCAAAGTTGCATCGATTTTTTTTAATCAAATAATTACAAAGAAACGGTCCGGCCCGTTTCTTTATCCAAAACTAATCAGTACAATAGCCAATTTATATTCTTCGAATAGTTCTTTACCTTTTTGATAAAGGGTAGACGAATTTTTGCACCTGTCTGCTAATTATGAAAAGCAGATATATAATTATTAAAAAAAAAATACAGTTCAACAAGAAACCTTAATTTTTGAAAAGTTTGGGCAATCGTGTAATTGTTTTTGATTACGGTCCTAGAAACATCATTCTCGGCTTTGGTTCCAAAGTTTAAATGATCGAAAGTAATAAAATTTAGAGTAAGCAAAAAATTGTCACAATTTTACCGAAGCTTTAGATCGCACTTGAAAGCTCATAATTTTCAAACAACGTGAGATAAATTGTTTTTAAAATTAAATTCCGGAGAGTAGGTTATAGTAATGGCCAAAAATCGAAAATGAAAATTTTTGCATATTTTCACGTTTCAGAGGTTTCGAACATTTTGGCATACCCCAAAAAATTAAAGTGTGTGTGTGTGAACGTTGTCGAGAGTACCGCTCAACCGATTTGAATGATTAAACTAGTGGTGCATGGCATCGTGTTTTAAGGCAAATTGCTGGAACTTTTCGTACCGAAACTGATTTAAAAAAAAAAAAACAGTTGAAATTACAAATATTTGAAAACATTAGATTTTTGAAACATATTGATATTTTTGAAAAAATTGACCAGTTTGAAAAATTTGATTTTTTCATAATTTGATTCTTTTTGAAAATTGTGAACATTTTTTAAGCAATATCGCTGCATAGCTGATTCGGAGCCAAATATCGAAGCGCGTAAGCGCCGCGTAGTTCTCTAACGTGCAAACATTGGTACGGAACCCATATAAATGTACACAAAAGCTGTACTTATTATTATAATCTTTATGAAATATCTGATAATACGATGTATATATGTCTAACGTTCATTTTTGACCGCCAAAGAGCATTATTTTTCAAAAATTTCACCAGTTGTTCATTTCGTAAATACAAGTGAAATGCTTTGAATTATTCAAATCGGGCGCTCCGTTATCTCAAAAACTAAAAAACAATTTTTGGCTTTTTGTCCCGTATCTCCGAAACGGCTAGACCTGCCTTTGCCAAAAACTAATCAGCAAGTCTGCTTATCAGTAGGAATCGGAATTTTTTTTAAATATTCAAATAGATTAATCCGTTTTCGCAAAATCGTCAATAAATTTTGTATCCGCACGCACACACACACACATACATAATTTTTTTCATAAGGTATCATACCATAGGTGTGCCAAAATATTCAGAAACCTTTGAAACGTAAAGATATATAAAAAATTTCATTTTCGATTTTTTGCGATTACTATAACTTGCTCTACGGGAAGTTAAAAGGCAATCGATTCCTACTAATGGGAATTAGTGCGAATTAATTTTTGGAATACGAGAGGCAAATAGTACAGAAAATAGAAACTCGATTTTCGCGAGAACCGGGCATCCGATTGGAATGATTCAAAAAGATTCAATTTGTAATGGTTGGTAGAATGAGGTTTTGGCAAAGACAAGTCAAGCCATTTTGGAGATATGGAGCTGAATGTGCAAAAAATGACTGTTTTTGAGAGAACTAAGCATCCGATTTGAATGATTCAAAAAACTTTCTGTTTGTGTTGACTAAACAATTGCTTTTGGATTTTTTTTATTTCAAAATTCAAAACTTTTTTTCCAAAATTTTGTTTTGTCTATCGAAAATAAATCGGATTTTAATTTTATTTCTGACCAAAGTTCTAAAGCTCACTTATTTACTTTAAATTGATAAGTTTAACTTTGCAATTCAGTTTATATAATTCTTCTAAATATTAGACAATGACCTTCATTTTAAATTCAAATGTTTAAATTGTGAGTACTTACTTTTTTGTGAATCATATATAAACGTTGACGCCCAATTTATAAGCTCTTATAATTTGTCTATGAAATAAAAAAATGAAAGTTACAGTATTTATAATATAATAATCTAATTGAAAACATTAAATATTCTTCAAATATTTTGTTACGGTACGGAAAGTTCCAGCAATTTGCCTCAAGGCACGATGCCATATACCGTCTCATTTCGGCTTGACGTTGAGTTCTGGGACATCCTGTAAGTATATATATATATATATATATATATATATATATATATATATATAGTATTATTACTCTAACGACTATTCATTTCATTTGAAAAATAATCAAAACTTAATTTTTAAATTCTTGTTTAAGACAAAAACTCCATAAAAATGAGATATGAGATAAAATAACGAAAGAATAATTATAGTTATTTTTTTCCCAAATGGTTCAAATTTTTAGTAAAGATACGTCGTTGGCATCTTTTATTAAAAGAGGGCACTTGTATTTATCCATCAAGTTGTATGTATTTGTGATTTTCCTCCAAAAGTACTTCACAATTGGCAATCTCTATCGATTTCTTTACTGTGTTTGACCAAATCCTTCGTTGAACATTTGCTATACATATGCTGTTATTATTATACACATGTAAAAAGTGAAGGGGTCACAAATACAACCCTTTTCAAGTGGGACATGACAAGGCAACAAGATTGTATTCATGTTTTTGTTTAAGGTTTATGTTTACTTTGATATCTGTTCAGATACCTTACCAGATTAATGTAGACATTTCACACCGGAATAAATAGCAAACGAAGGCATGTTGATTTCTTTATCTACGATATGTAAATAGTTAATCTAATTTAATATATCTACTAATATTCTAAATTATAGTTTTTACATATTCATTTCATAGGTCATTTCTTGAATAAGGATATAGTGAAAATCAGTTTCTTTTAAATATTTTTTTTTTAATTTAAATTTAAACTTTGTTATGCGATTATAAATTATATTAGAACTATTTTTAGATCTCTATGTTTTTCTGCTTTTAAGCCTTATATAAAATTCTGTTCAATTTTCTTCTTAATTAATTTCAGAAGTTCAAAATAATTAATGTGAGAGGCTATTTTAAGTCGCCGGTGTTATCGAATTTTGCATTCGTCCTTTTTCTCATGCATAACAAATTGTTTTATATAAACATACTCGTTGTATAGTTCTTTTTCTGGTATTTGATTGGTAGTTATAGTTTCATTATCAATTAATTGCAAATATTTAAGTTAAACCTATACTTTTCGAAAACTTGGAATAAAAGATCTGGGTCCAAAATAAATAATGTCTGTATTGGGACACGAGGTGGAAATCCGGGGCTGTACCAGGACATATAGTCTCCTTAATTTTAATTAACTGAAAACATGCTGATTTGACATATAAAATTGTTATTTTTTTATTATTCTTAAAAATCAATCGGATGAAAGCATTCTATTCTAATAGTGATAATATAATTTTACTCACGAAAGAGCTATTTTCAATTTAAAAGATACTATAGAAAAGCGTACTCATAAATTAACATTAAAGTATAATTTTAGTTAAAGTGATGATAATAAATTTATATAATATAGCGGTTATCAGTAATGCATATTTTCAGTTTTATAATGTATTTCAAATTATAATTTTCACATGTATATAAATTAGTTAAATTTCAGTTTCTTCATACTAATTTCCAGAATAAATGAACAAATTTGAAAGAAACATTTGAAATATTTATGAGCTTTATTTGTATTTATATTTCAATACAATTTTTACTATTTTAATATTTATTAGCATTTTGCTCGAGACAAACAATTTTGATTATTTTCATCTTCT